TCAGAAATAATATAAATTTTGAAATGCACAGACAATGGATATGAATTGTCCCCTACGGAAATACTACAAGGGACTGGAGAAACTTGGAGAATGGAAAACTCCAAGGAAGGTCTTTTGGGGGATAGGCAAAACTGGGATTGATTGAAATCAATTTTGTGATTCTGTATTTCTTCACTGCATCAACATTTTGCTTCATATACTGTTTCTTAGACATACCTAGAGAGGCCTACCTAAGTGATGGATTAAAGATTTTAAGCAAATATCTTCAGGCTGTAATCCATAATATACTTACTCTCTCAATTTGTCTTCCCCATCCCTTACAAGTCTCTGATGTTTCTTTTTTCTTTTCTTTCTTTTTATTTTTTTGAGATGAAATTTCTCTCTTGTTGCCCAGGCTGGAGTGCAATGGCCTGAACTCAGTTCACTGCAACCCCCGCCTCCTAGGTTCAACCGATTCTCCTGCCTCCGCTTTCCAAGTAGCTGGGATTACAGGGGCCCACCACTATGCCCAGCTAATTTTTGTATTTTTAGTAGACATGGGGTTTCACCATGTTGGCCAGGCTGGTGTCAAACTCCTGACCTCAGGTGATCCATCCACCTCGGCCTCCCAAAGTGCTGGGTTTACAGGTGTGAGCTACCACACCCGCAGTCTCTGATACTTCACAGTAGCACATAGCTCCAGCTACCATTATTGTATGTTGATTACCTTAGTTGTAGCTTTAAAATAACTATGCTCAGAATTTAGTGTCAGGAGAAAGCAGGACAGTTAAGCTGGGTAGAGACTGTGGCTTGACTAACAGCTGATACGATTTCTCAATGGGATCATTTCTCAATGGGATCGTTTTGTATATGTTCCCAAGAGAATCCTCTGAATAGTCAGAAGGAAGAAAATGTTCAATGATTTACGAAGGAATGGGATGACAGATACAGAAAACTGTTAAACATTGTCACGTACCCTCTGACTGGAATCCTGGAAAGAGTGCTATATCCTCCTTTATTTGAAAACAGTTTCTTACTTTTTCTTTTTTTGGTTTTTTTTTTGAGACGGAGTCTCGCTCTGTCGCCCAGGCTGGAGTGCAGTGGCCGGATCTCAGCTCACTGCAAGCTCCGCCTCCCGGGTTTACGCCATTCTCCTGCCTCAGCCTCCCAAGTAGCTGGGACTACAGGCGCCCGCCACCACGCCCGGCTAGTTTTTTTTTTTGTATTTTTAGTAGAGACGGGGTTTCACCGTGTTAGCCAGGATGGTCTCGATCTCCTGACCTCGTGATCCACCCGTCTCGGCCTCCCAAAGTGCTGGGATTACCGGCTTGAGCCACCGCGCCCGGCCAGTTTCTTACTTTTTCTTAAAAAAATATTTACCATTTCACTAGAGATTGTAAATATTTACACATGTGCATATATGACAGAATAGTATGTTTTATATATAAACTTATGTTCTTTTGTTTCCCAGAATATTTCTTACTTTTCCATTTTTCCATTCCTTGCTTCAGGAAGGGTTTATGGAAGGGCTTTTTGATTTCCCAAAGCCTAAACACATGAAAATATAGTGTTAGGTACAGTTGGTGCTCTTCCCTAAGATGTATCAAGCTATGGCTTTACTTCTATTTGTGCTGCTCAAGGATTCATGTCTTGCATCAGTTGTTGAAAAATTCATGCCACTATCTCTTCAAATATTGTCCCTTCCTCATTCTCTCAAGACTCTCTTTATGGACTTCGTTCTAGGTATATTTTGAAACTTTCCCTTTTTGTGCCATGTCTTCTAGCTTCTCATTCATATTTTGTACTGTTTTATCTTTGTGTGCTGCATTCTGGGTGATTTATTGAGATCTATATTTTCTCCTTGCCTTTGTCTCTGCTAGGGTTATAAAAGTTTCACCAGTTCCAGATTAATTTTTGTATTAGTGTATGTCCTTTGAGTTCTCTCACGTATACAGATTATGAATTCAGCCTATGAATGGAGCTGGCCTGGATTCTGATTGCTCCCAGGGGGCTCCGTATCCACCCATGACTTCACATAAAAGATGAGCTTTCTTCTCATGTATCTTTGCTGTGGGATAAAGTTTTCTAGTTACTATTTCATGTGCTGGTTGTGTTTCTGTGGCGTCTAGATTTAGATTGGAGCTCAGTACCAGCTTCCCATCTTCCACTGCGTAGAGGCATTGTTTTCTGTCCCTATGTGGGATTAAATCCTGGTCTCTAGATCTTAAAGCCAATAGCCGTCTGTCTTCATCTCCAGCTCATTGTTGCTAGCTCCTTCTTTGTTTCTTAGAGATTTCCATTTCATGACCATGAACTTGACTATATTACTGTCTTTAGAGAAGGTGAGTATTCTATCATATCTGTGAGTTTCAAGTGGGAAGAGGGAAGCTTTCCAAGTCAGTTCAGTCTGCTGTTGACTGGAAATTCGTTGAACAGTTTTGTTGGATTAAATTGTGTAGGTGATATGTCATACCTATTAAGAGATACCTGAAGCATGGCTGCTTTATATTGCTTCCAGACATATAGTATAGAGTCTAACGAAGTTTTCTGTATCTCAGCATAGCAAAGGCAGGGAAGCAGCACAGAAAGTCTTGATCATTCAAGGTTGACACAAGCAAACTAGAGAGCTACAATATCTGAAAAGGTCATGAGGAAGGAATGAGAATGGCGAGTTATGTAGAGCAATAATACTAGAATCATGTGGACCTCTTCCAACAACTCTAAGGTGCTTTGTAAACATCTTTGATCTTAGACACACAACGGAAAACACAGCAGATCCTAAACTGATTCCATTTCAGCACCACAATGGGATGAGAAGACAAAATATAAATTATGAGTATTACTATGGAAAATATAAGCTGGATGTTTTATACACTTGGGTTTGTGGACTGTGATTTATTCCAGTTATACATATGTGTTAGCTATGGCATTCTGCAGGATGTATGATTACAAGACATTTATATTATCCTCTTTGCCTAGTACTTATACTTTTCCTTATTTCCTCTCAAATTTTACTTCCTTAGGAAAGCTTTCTTTGTTCCCGTTTTAGCCCCTCGGAGTATGTCTTGATCTGCTGCTATATACTCATATACATATTTGTGTTCCATTCCTTCTTTGTATTTATGTGGAATTATAATTATCTGTACACTCATGTGATTATTCGATTAATGTACATACCCCACTAATCTGTGAGCTTCATGAATACAAAGACAAGACCTAGTCTGTTTTTCCTACCATTGTATTCTCAATGCCTTGCATAGGCGCTCAATAGAGACTATTAAGTGAATGAATGAATACAATACATTCTGCATTGTTTGACATTTTTATAATGACTATATTAGTTTTACTATTAAAAACAATCATCCTATTTAGAACAAATATAAACATAGACCTTCTGGGCCAGTGGTTTTTAATATATTTAGGGTTATACTTCCCATTAAAAACATGTTAATAATTATAGCTTATAGCCTCTCACCTGGAAAACTTATATGCACCCTCCCCTCACTCCCAATACATAGCCTTGTATACAATTTCCAGGAATTTATAGACTTGTCCAGTTGAGAACACATGGTCTAAGTTAATCAGTATGGTCAGTAGGTGAGAGTTTCTTGGACACTGTCCTTAGCCTGGCTGAGGGGCCACTAAGGAGGAAGGTGACTGGAAGGCAGCAACCGTGCAGTAAGGCTAGGTTCCCTAGACTCCCTGGAGATGCAGATTTGGGGCATGAAAGGCCCACCAGACTGCACTGCTCATGATAGGTGGGAGGCAGCAGATAGCGTCCAGGGAGGCTTCCACTCAGACACTGTGAATAAGGGCAGAGAGCAGGGAGACAGTTAGGGAAACTCCCCCAGCAATCACTTCTCCAGACCTCATGGACACCCTCAGCTGCAAGGGTCTAGAAGGCATGCATTCTGGTTTCCAGTGGCAGGAACAGTGCTCCCTTCTCTGCTGGGGCTGGGTTACCCCAGTGGAGATTTAGGAGAGGGAGGAGGGAAGGATCCAAAAGCATTTACTCAGGTCACCACCTTGGTCATCTGTCCAGGTATATTTTTGAAGTGAGCAAGAGTCAGGTGCCCATATGCAGGAGATGAGAAGTTCTGAAATATGAGAGGGGATGGGGGCAGCACCTTCCCCCGATCTTGACTGGGCAGAAAGGATAGGACCATCTCTGCATTCCTCATACCTTGCAACATCAATCTCACAGCTCTTCCCTTTGCCCAGAGTTAAATCTCATTGTTTAGAAGGATTCAGTCTAATCCTTCTAAATACCTTATCAAAAACCTTACCAATTACCTTATCAAATACCTTAGCATGTTTATAAACTCTTCTTGTGCAGAAAAGCAATACATTCATAAAACTTAATTGTGCTAAGGCACTTCCCCCCTCTTAAGTTGAACTTTTTTTTTTTTTTTTTTAGACTTAGTCTCCCTCACTCTTACCCAGGCTGGAGTGCAGTGGCGCGATTTTGGCTCACTGCAAACTCCACCTCCTAGGTTCAAGCGATTCTCCTGCCTCAGTCTCATGAGTAGCTGGGATTACAGGTGTGCACTGCCATCCCCGGATGATTTTTGTATATTTAGTAGAGACAGGGTTTCACCATGTGGGACAGGCTGGTCTCGAACTCCTGGCGTCAAGTGATCCACCTGCCTTGGCCTTGCAAAGTGCTGGGATTACAGGTGTGAGCTACTGTGCCTGGCCAGAAATATTTTTTTAATAGGTTTTCCCAGATTAATTCCTCATTAATTTTTCAGTGACAATAACTTCATTTTTTTTCTGATTGTAAAAATAATTGCATGCTGATGCTTTTTTTTTGAGATGGAGTTTCTCGCTCTGTCACCCAGGCTGGAGTGAATTGGCATGATCTAGGCTCACTGCAGCCTCCATCTCTGGGATTCAAGCAATTCTCCTGCCTCAGCCTCCTGAGTAGCTGGGACTACAGGCGTGTGCCACCACACCCAGCTAATTTTTATATTTTTAGTAGAGATGAGGTTTCACCATGCTGGCCAGGCTGGTGTTGAACTCCTGACTTCAGGTGATCTGCCCGCCTTGGCCTCCCAAAGTGCAAAGATTACAGGCGTGAGCCACTGCTCCTCGCCACTGATGCTTATTTTTTTAAGGCAGTAATAATACATGAGGAAGTGAAAATATGAGGAAGTACAATCTCATGTTCATTCCCTGCCTCTGTTACCGACATCCTGTCCATTTTCTAATTCCAATCACTGCCTGCCTCTCCGCCCTCACGTTTTGGGGGATGGACACAGTTGCAGGGGAAATGGAAGACATTACTGATCATGGACATCGAGGGTGGAGAGAGAAATTTGGGCATCAAACTAACCCTGAGAAATGTACCAGTGAGGTTGAAAACATTTGTAAACCATTGCCCAGGAAAAGCAGTCACTGAGACCAGCATTGTGGATGATTAATATCTTTTAAAAACATTTTGTAATTCCCTCAACAAAGTTCTTGCAAACTGTGGTAGAGGCTGTTAGTGCTCTCCAATATCCATGCTTTCTGCCCACTCCTTGGAATCCAGCTAGACTGGTTAATAGTGGTCTAGCTATAGTGGTCAGCATCCCTTATGATTGGGTGCAACCATGAGACTGAGTTCTGGCCAATGGATTGTGGCAGCAGTGATGTGTTCCAGACTTTCCCTCATAAAACGTCCTCATGCTTGACGTGTGCTCTCTCTTTTCCTAGCTACCCGCTGAGTGCAGATAACTTTGAGTACCTAGAGAAGGGTGGAGCTACAAGATGGAACGAGCCTGGGACCCTGAATGGCTATGTGTAGCAGAGCCTCTCTGCTGACCTGGAACATTAACCTCAGACTCTTTTGGTAAAGAATATATATTTTTTAAGTCATACAATTTTTGAGTTTTTCATTATAGCGGTTTAGACTTTTATACTACTACAACATTAATGGATTATTTTCTTTCCTTTTTTTTTTGGACCTTAGGTGATGAGGATTATACGAACCATATTCTTCCCTTCGTAGCATACCATCTGCATTGATCTAATCAAACCCATTTTCTTTTCTTTATTAATTCATTTACTACTTTATTTGTTTCCTTTCTTCTCTATTCTTTACTTCCATCTCCTCCCCAAAGGCAACCTTCTAATTTATTTGATGTGTATGTTTGTTTGAGTTATTTTAAAACTTACTTTATTTTGTATGCATGGATTTAGATAGTAGTATGGTGCTGTGGATCTCATTCTGACTTCTTTCCCCACTCAGTAATATTTTTTTAAAGATCCATCTATGTCACTCTGTGTATATTGTCTGTAGTCTCACACTGTTGTATAATGTACCATGGTGTTCATCCACTCCAATTTACTTCCTCATTTTCCTGGAAATAAAATCTATACTGCTTCCAACTTACTGTTACCTCATACATTGTGATGAACGTCCTCATGCATGTCCCCTTATGGACCTATGTGAAAAGTGTTCTGGAATATATATCAAATGAATGGAATTGTTGAGCCATAGGGCATATGTATAATTCATTTATGTATGTCAGATTGCTCTTTGGAATAGCAGCTCCAGTCTAAACTCTAATTAGCTGTGTGCGTTAGAATTCTTCTATCTCTGTACCCTCAGTAACAATTGGCATGTCCCAGCTTTAAAATTTTTGGCAGCCAAATAGGTATAAACAGATTTATAATTGAATTTTAATTAGCAATTAACTGGTTAATAATGAGTCTGAATATCTCTTCATTTATTTCTGAGCATTTTGGTTTTCATCTCCTTGGGGTATATTTGTCATGTTTTGTCAGTTTATTTTTCTCATTTTACTTTATTTTATTTTTTGAGATAGGGTCTCACTCTGTCACCCAGGCTGGAGTGCAGTGACACGAACATGCCTCACTGCAGTCTTGACCTCCTGGGCTCAAGCGATCCTTCTGCCTAGCTGCTCCAAGTAGCTGGAAGCAGAGGCATGCACCATCACACTCAGCCAATTTTTTAAAATAGTTTTTTTTTTTTTCTTCTTTGTAGAGACAGGATCTTGCCATGTTGCCTAAGCTGGTCTTCAACTCCTGGCCTCAAGCTATCCTCCTGCCTTGGCCTCCCAAAGCACTGGCTTTACAGGCAGGAGCCATCTCACCTGTCCGTCCTCTTTTGTCACTATAGGGCAGTGTATTCCTGTCCTTTTCTTTTGGATTTGCAGGAGTACTTTGTATATGCTAGCTATTAATCCTTTGTTAAATGTATTGTAAATAAGTTTTCTCTGTCATCTATTAACTTTGTTTATGGTGTCTCTCATTGAATAGAAATTCTTATTTTTTATGTAATCAAATCTATTAATCTTTTGTGTCTTATGTCATCTACTTCTGAGGTTTTGTTTAAGAAATTGTTATCTAATTCTAGGCCACAAAGATATTCTTCTATATTATCATCTATTAAGTTCACAATTTTAGCTTTCATATTTATTTTGTTCTCTGTAGTCTGGATTTATACTTGGTGCTAAGGGGGGTTCCAGCTTTATTTTTCTTCAAATAGCTAGTCTTTCCAGTTCCATATATTAAACCGTCCATTCTTTCTCCACTGATTTGTGCTGCCAGTTTTTTCTGTATCTACTTAAGTCTGTCTCTAAGCGTTTCCATTTATCTATTTATCTCTTCCATATTACTTTTGTTACTATGACATGGCAAGGATAGCTGGTACTCGCCAAATGATTTTTGTACTTACTTTCCTAACTTGCCTTGCAGTTAGATTGAGGTCATATGACTATCTGGACTACACACTACAAGCAAAGTAATGTTTGTTATATCTGGGTTAAAGTTATTTAAAACTGGTGTAAAAGGCTGTGTGTTTAGATGGAGGAACCACAAGATGGAAGAAGTCTTAGGTTCCTGAGTAACTGCGTGGAAGATTGGAGAGCTGCCTAATCGTTAAATTTTCCGTAAATAGGAAATAAACCTTTGTTTACTTCACTGAGGTTTTGAGGTTCATTTGTTGCTTCAGTATAGCATGTTGTTACCCTGACTGACACATACAGTGTATCTTACTATCTAGTAGAGTAAGTTTCCAGTAGAGTAAGTATCCTTTGTTTCCAAATTGATGTAGCTCTTGTTGGGTCTTTATATTTCCATATAGTGTTAGAATGTATCAATTAAGCTTTGATAGATTTTTTAAAATGTTAAGCCAGCTCTGCCTTACCATTCTGATTATGACTTGTTAAAATATATTGCTGGATTCTACTTGCTGGTATTTTGTTTAAGATTTTCACATCTATATTTTGAGACTTGTTTGAAATTTCATTTTTTTATACTGATCGTGTTGGTTTTAATATAAAAGATTTGACTCATAAAACGCATTGAAGAACATTACTTATTTCTAGGCTATAGAACAGTTTGTATAAGATTGGACTTTATCTGTTACATCTGGGTCTATTTTTTGAGGAGAGGGGCAGGGAACTTTTAAACTGGTGATTTAATTTTTTCCCGTGGTTATAGGACCCTTTGAATTCTCTGTTTCTTTCTGAGCCAATTTTGGCAAGTTTTATTTTTCCAATAATGTATCCATTTCATCCACATTTTCAAATTCATTGTCATAAAGTTAATTATGGTATTCTCTTATCTCTTAAAATCACTGCATATTCATTATTATGTCCTCTTGTTCAGTGCTAATATTGTTTATTTTCACCTTTTTTCTTGATTAGTCTTACCAAAGGTTTGCTTTTTAAATTATATCTTTTCAGGACCAATTTTTCATTTTTTAAAATTCTATCAAACGTATTTTTTTCTATTCCGTCTATTTCTGCTCTTGTCTTTTTCATTTTATTATCTTTACATTTATTCTATCAGTCTATTTCCAACTTTTGATTTGGATGCTTAGCTCATCAATGTGTACCTTTTTTTTCCCCCAGTCTAACATAAGATTTTTAAAACAGCTTTATGAGATATAATTCACATTCTAAACAATTCACCTATTTAAAGTGTAAAATTCAACCTTTTGTTGTATGCTTCCAGAGTTGTGCAACCATCACCACAATGAATTGTGGAATATTTTCATTACTCCAAACAGAAATCTTGCACCTATGAGTTGTCACTCTTCATCTTGCCTCTGCCTCTCCTTTCAAGTATTACTTTACTTTCTGTCTTTATAGATTTGCCTGTTGTAGACATTTCATATAACATAAAAACTTAAGACCATAAATTTCCTTTGAAATAATATTTTCATTGAGAACACAGGGACACAGGGAAACAACATACACCAGGGCCTGTTGGAGGGTGGGAGGTGAGGGGAGGGATCTTAGAGAACGGGTCAATAGGTGCAGCAAACCACGATGGCACACGTATGCCTATGTAACAAGCCTGCACATTCGGCAAATGTATCCCATTTTTTTCCTTTTAGAAGAAATAAAGAAAAAAAAGCAATACTGTTTTTACTGAATCCTACAAATGTTGGTATTTAGTGTTTTTGTTATTATTCAGTTTTCAGTGTTTTAGAATTTCTATTATGCTTCCTTTTTTAACCCATAAACTACAAAAAACTTTTCTTTTCTTTTTTTTTTTTTAATTTCCAAACATGACCGTAGGTGGTGGCTCACACCCATAATTCCAGCACTATGGGAGGCCACCCGCCTCAGCCTCCCAAAGTGCTGGGATTACAGGCTGAGCCACTGTGCCTGGCCTCTTTATATGTTTTGAGGCTATTTTATTAAATACTCACAAATTTATAATTTTTTGGCGAATTTAACTTTTTATCATCATTTAAAAACTTTTGTTGTGAAATAATTATATATTCACCTGTAATTGCAAGGATAATACAGAGAGGCAGGAGAATCACATGAGGTTAGGAGTTGGAGACCAGCCTGGGCAACATAGACAAACCCGTCTCTACCAAAAATACAAAAATTAGCCGTGCAACGTGGCATGCACCTGTAGTCCCAGCTACTTGGGAGGCTGAGGTGGTGTGATCCATTGAGCCCGGGAGGCGGAGGTTGAAGTGAGCCATGATCGCGCCACTGCACTCCAGCCCGAGCGACAGAGTGAGAACCTGTCTCAAAATAATAAATAAATAAATAAAATAAAAGTTTCAAATACATGGTTTTAAAAACATATTACCCTGTTATTTATTTCTATCCTAATTGCATTTTGGTCAAATAAAGTGATTATTATGACATTGATTCTTGGAAATTTATTGAGATCTGTTTTATGGCCAAATTCATGATCATTATTATAAATAGTCCCTGTATGCTTGAGAAGAAAGTGTATTCTCCTATTAATTGGTGCAGGATTTTGTGTATGTCCATTAAATCAGATTGTTGACCACATTGCTCAATATTCTACATCTTTACTATCAAGATATAATAATAGAATACTTTTTGTTCTCCTTATTCTTTAAATACTTTAGAGAAGTATGTTGTATTCTTCCATGTGATTGTTGATTTGTTCCTTTTATAGTTCCATAACATTTTTCTTTATATATACATATATATGTTTTGAGATGGTATCTCGCTCTGTCACCCAGGCTGGAGTGCAATGGCGCAATCTCGGCTGACTGCAACCTCCGCCTCACTGGTTCAAGCGAGTCTTTTGCCTCAGCCTCCTGATTAGCTGAGATTACAGGCACACATCACCACGCCCGGTTAATTTTTTGTGTTTTTAGTAGAGATGGGGTTTCACCATTTTGGCCAGCCTGTTATTGAATTCCTGACCTGAAGTGCTCCACCTGCCTCAGCCTCCCAAAGTGCTGGGATTACAGGCTAAGCCACTGTGCCCAGCTTCTTTATATATTTTGAGGTTATTTCATATATACTCACAAATTTATAATTTTTTGGCGAATTTAACTTTTTATCATCATTTAAAAACTTTTATCGTGAAATAATTATACATTTACCTGTAATTGCAAGGATAATACTAACAGGTCTTCTGTACCTTTCCTAAAAGTTTCCCCCGATGGCTACATTTTATATGACTGTAGTACAATATTAAAATTAGGAATTTGATACTGGTAGAAAATGTATCATATAGTTCTATACCATTGTATCACACCACTGCAATCAAGATGCAGAGCTATTCTATCCCCACAGAGATATCCTTTGTGCTGCCCCTTTCCAGTGATACACACTACCCACCCTACCATGCCTAACACCTGGCAACCATGAATCTGTTTTCTATTTCTATAATTTTTTCATTTTAAGACTGTTATACAAGGAACTCAACTCAAGAGCAAAACCCCAACTAATTCCATTAAAGTGGGCAAAGGATCTCAACAGACATTTCCCTAAAGAAGACATACAAATGGCCAACAGGTATATGAAAAAATGCTCTATATCAGTAATTATCAAATAAATGCAAATCAAAACCAGAATGAGATATCAACTCACCCCGTTTAGAATGGCTACTATCAAAAAGACAAAAAAATAACA